ACACACACACACACACACACACACACACACACAAGCACACACACACACAAGCACACACACACACACACGCACACACAGCCACAAAGCCCCAGGAGAAGAGAAACAGAGACCGGCTGATCATGCAAGCAGCAGACTGGACTGACAGACGGCAAACGAGCCCCCTACTATCACACTAAAACACACACACACACACACACACACACACACACATACTTATTTGTGCTCAGCCATCGCTGTGTGGGACTGCTGCAGCACCTGCCTGGCCCCGGCTGGGGGCCCCCTACTTTCTGCTGAGAGTAATTATATGCATTTATGTGTGTGCRTCAGTGTGTGTGTGTGTGTCAGTGTGWGTGTATGCGCAGATGATTTTGGGGTTAAGTTGGAGGCTCGTGTCAGACTTGCTCTTTCAGGGGGGAGACAAAGGTCCCCTGGGATTATGTTGTGACTGTGTGTGATGGAGCATTTTCATTGAGCGGGCCTCTCAAGCCGCCATCTTTATGCGTGCCGCGCGGCTTTGGGTTTCCTCGAGTGGGCGTCGGCCCAAAACAAAACAAAAYGCGGGTCTGTCCAGGCGGCGAGGTCGCCGCCCGCTCTGGCAGCTACAAATCTCCTTTCTCTCCGCCGCTCTCCGTCCCTCCTCCTCACTCAACAATGAGTTGCTCCATTTGTCAAGGGGCTGACCTCGGAGACCCCCAGCCTCTGTGAAGCGACACGAGGAATRATCGGCCACAGAAGTGCTGGAAGAGAGGGGTTCTAATCCTTTCTGGCAACCTGTGTTTGTGCGTGAGGGATAAAAGATGAATGAAGCTGGAAAACAAAAAAGCAGGGTCTGGGCTTTAGGAAACAAAAAGATGCAGTTTGCAGAGTTCATCTGTGCAAGTCCAGTGTCATACAGATGTGTTGAATTTGGCAGTGTTATTACAGGTCAGTATAACGTTTAACAATATACTATTTATTTTTTCTTACATGGGTTTTTAGCTGATAGTGTAGCCTGGTTTGTTCCACACAATAACCACTGTGGGATTGTCTTTATCTCCAGGAAGTGAAGGCAATCCAGTCCATTACAGACATGTGCTTCAATAAACTTATGATCCTTCCAACACTTGTAACATCTGTCATATTAAGCATTCTTTTCACTGGTTCAAAAGGCATCAACCTCACAATATCATTTCCAGTCTGACATCAACAAAAAACTGTTATAGAATAAAACTGCTGGAAAACATGCAACACGAGCACCCCCCACAGTTTGCAACATCTCTGTCAGTGAAGAGGGATATCTTCAGTTTATAGCAGGTCTGTGCCTCATCGTGTGWATGATATTAAACACTGTGCTGTTTCAACATCAAAACATCCAGCTCCTTCAGGACGTTCCATATATTTATGCTTTTTGAGATATTTAGCGTTTTCAACCATTTTTGTTCTAAGTGAAAATGAATGGAGCTGTCTTCATCATCCTTAAAATCCTTCATGCTACTTTTTACTTTTTGTTCTGGTTCTGCTTTTCTACACTTCTCAGCGCTAATTTCAGCTTTTTTTCCTTCTAATTTTAGTAGGTTCTGCCTTTTCAGCTATCTTTCTGATCTTTTTAGCTATTCTGCTAATTTAAACAATTTTATGCTTATTCTGCTATCTGCAATTTAAGCAACTTTTGAGCTTTTTTTCAGTAAATATAGCTTTTTCAGCTATATTCACCTTTTTGTGACAGTTTCAGCTTAATTTCAGCAAACATGCTCTATGTGCTTGATTGTGTTAGATCCAGCTTTTTAAGCTACTTTTAGTGACTTTTCTGCTAATTTAAGCTTTTTTCTTATTTTGCATCAAATTGCTATTGTGCATCTTCTCTGTTTTTCTGCAAAAACGAAGCATTCATTCATGTTACAAAAAATGCAAAATCTCTAGTTATCGTTAAATCCAAAGGCGTCCCAATTATTTCMTGTCTGCTTTTTTCTGGAGTCTAAACTTTATGGTGAAAACACAGTTTAGATTTGGCTTTATATAAAGAATTTGGTTACAGGTTGATATGAACTCATTAAAATGCTGTTTTAAACAAACCTACACATCTTCTGTGCCCTTGTTGTGACACTCAGGCATTTCAGTGCCGTGGACACATTTATTCTGCAGACGGTGTCCTGTGCTGCACCTGCAGTTTGATCTGTGTACAAAACCTTCAGCTTCGTATCATTTTCAGCAGCTCCCACGTGATGCTGCAGAATCTTATTTGAGTTTCAGACTCAAAGTGCCGCGTCGCTCCGCTCCCCTCTCCCCTTCCCTCGTCTCTGCTGTCCCCGGGGAGGATTTTGTTGCTGTGTAAGTGCTTCCCTCCTCTGTGTACACTGAGTCAAGAGAGCAAACCTCAGAATGCTTTGATTCGTGTTCCCCATCACCTGAAACAAAACAAGAAGACGGAGCTCAGACACGGGCAGCAGCTAATGAAGCCGAGAAAAYGTTACCAGACCTCCTCTTCCTACAAAGCCTTCTTCCTCCTCATCAAAGTGTCCCAGCCTGGATTTGTCCTCTAAAGACACCAATCTGGAGYGGCTGCAGTCGCTGGAACCTGATCACATATAATATTTGGATCMTTTCAAAGAACAAGCAGCTTCTTTTTTTAGATTCTTCTTTCTCTCTTTGTTTGCACTTTCTTTTTTTAACATTTCACTGAATTCAGACATGTTTAGATCAAACCATGAAATGAGATTGCACATTTTGTTTTGTCTCCTGCAACACATTTGATAAAATTCAAAGCATACCTGAGACTAAGAGCGGGAAATAATTTATTTATGATTTTTTTTTCTCATTTAGAAAGCTGGGTCCGAATAGCTTCTCTATTTGTTAGTGTCTCTTCGTGTGAGAGGTGTTTTATAAATGAAATTTATGAATAGCTGCTTCTACAGTAAACATAATTTTAGAAAGACTGAATACATAATTTTTTTTTTATTGTGGAGGGTTAAAGGAAAGTTGTAAACAAATCATTGAGTCTGTTAGTTAAATACTGCAGGTGTTTGCTCTTTCCTTCAGATAGCTCCTCACTCCAGTCAGTCCTGCATCAGTTTTTTTCCCCAATTGTTTGCCATCTGTGTGTRCGTGAATGTGTGTGTCCCCCAGCTGCCTTTGAGTTGTCGGCCTGCTCCCAAAGTCACGTTGAAATCCCACAGGCATTCGCTCACGGGAGCTTAGCGATTAAACACTTTCACATGGCTGCATACTTTCCATGAAAGTGTTTCCCCGTTCATATTCCGAGACAGTAGCACACAAAAAAAGACTTGGGTGTTAACGTTTTCCCAAAGCAGCTCTACGAAAATACAAATKAATATCTAATCGGGAGTGTTTTTGAGACAAAATGACTCAGATTGTTGATTTGAGAGGAACAGACGCTGTCAGAGTATTAAAGAGTTTGGGTCATCACTCCATCACTTCATCTAAAAAGGTGTTAAAGCTTGATTGTTTTTAAAAGCACCATCTTGCGTACRTTTTAAAGCAAACTTCAATAAAACCGTCCTCCTCCACAGAGTAACTGTTAGTTGATGAGTGCAGCTGCAGTTAGCGGTGCGTGCAGGGACTGCATGTCTTTTCTACACTCTGTCAGTTTTAAACACGGTGTAGACAAGAGTGGGGATAGACCGTCAGATTGGAGAAAGCAGTCTGGGAAACAGAATGGTTTGTTATTTGAGGATYTCTCTTTGCTTTTGGCCTTGAGCACCTGAAGGTCGTTATGTCAAACTGGTGGTATTTATGCTTTAAAACTAATTAGTTAGAATCTAATCAACTTAACTGATGAAACAGTTTGAACTCAKTTTATCTAGACTTTAAGCTGTTTTGATTAAACTCCACTTACATTTTWTACTTAAAAAAAACTCACGCGCTCTAAAACAAATGTTCAAATTCAAACTTTAGCCATGTGGAGATGGAGTCATRGCTGAAAGTGCGCTCCTTTAGCAAATTTTCTTTACTGTACAAAAGTCAGCATATTGTGTATCCCTAATTAAGCTTTATTTATTTTTATGCATGGTTTAACTGAAGCCTATTCACACTCCCTCCGAGTTGTTGAAATCGTCTCGGATTGTCACAGTTTCATGATGAAAATTA